TATTGTACCCTACAAAACATAAAATTGAATGAAGTTTTAACCTTCAAATAAGATCTCCATTTCATTTTAAAATACACTGTTTCTTACAGAAAGACTCATTGTTTTTGCTAATAACACTTAGATGTTGGCGCATGCATCTCTAATCTGTATGTATCTGATTATTACTAGCCATGGTCGGTTGCACTCGGATCCTTGGCACATGTGTATGTCTATAAAGTCATCCGGTAGATTTCAATGGTAATGTTTATCACCTCTACTAATTAACATGACATAAATTTTTATGCTTCCTCCTCAAATATAACTCATTTTTTTAATTTGTTGATTTTTTGTGTGTGTATATCATACAGAACATCCCAGTCTTATTCATCTATACACCCACATCCCAGATGGCGCCCTCCCATAGGCCCCCTCCCCCTGACTACAGCCCTTATACTCTGTTATCCCTGCTACTCTTTGCTGTATTGTCGGCACCCCCAGCCATTCCCCAGTACTTGTTTTTATGAACTTTGTCTTTGGTTAATAGAGGATTTTTTTGTTTGTGTTTGTTTTTTAGTTGTTTTGAGACAGGGTCTCCCTGTAGCCCCAGCTGGCCTGGAACTCACCTTATAGACCAGGCTGGCCTCAAACTCATGGAGATCCGCTTGCCTCTGCCTCCCAAGTGCTGGGATTAAAGGTGTGCTCCACCACTCCTGGCTGTTAATGGAAGTTTTTAAAAGACTAATCTGAAGTTGACAGATGTCAGGCAGTTCCCTGAACCCATCCCTATCTTGCAGTCTGGTCTCCCCACAATTGCTGCTTCCCACCTTTGTGATACCTTTGTAAATACTGATGAACTGGCATCAACATTGTTATCACCTAGGGCCACAGTCACATTAGGGATTACTTTGGGTGTTGTATATTTGTGATGGTTGGTTTTGATTGTCGATTTGACCCATTGTAGAATCACCTGGTAATGGGGTCAGTGAGGAATTGTCTAGATTAGGGCTGGTCTGTGGACACATCCTTGGGAGATTTAATGAGTAATTACGAGGCAGACTCATGAGGCACTTCTGTGCCTCTTGTGTGCCTGCCTGGGGAATTCTTGCATTGCTCTGATGACCAGCCTCTAGCCTTTCTCTGAAGTTGTGCTGTCTAGGAATGTGTCCCTAAGCAGGATGGTTGAGTTTGCCTGGGTTTCTGTTTAGCCTGATAGCTGTAGCTTAATTATCAGCATGAAGATAATACATTACACTCTGCAGAGCTATTGTAATGGACCCTCCCCACTGCTGATGGACATGGTGGCCCGTGTCCATGTGCTGTGAAACTTCTGGCTGCGTCTCCTACTGTTCGTTCCTTTAGTACATGTATTTCTACTGTGGAATTGCTGGGAGATGCATATTTTTAATACTAATAGAAAGTCTAAACTTGATTTCCAGATGGGTTGTTCTAACAATGCAAGGTTTGAGAGGTCTCAGTATTTTAACCCCCAATTGTACCTGGTATTAACCAGCAATTCAGAGTCTACAAGCATTGCAAATGTATAGTCGTGCCCACGAGACTTAGAGATGTTGAAACAGGTTTGATATTGATACAGGGGAGAAAGAGCATCCCCTAGAGGTTTTAATCTTTAAGAATTGACTCAAATGGAAGCTTTAAGACAATATTATTAGAATTTAAAGAAAAGTCCTCAGGGTAGGCGAGCTGGGAATCTCAGCAGCTGCCTTGAGGAGGAAAATGGAGGGGAGAGGGAAAGAAAGCCATGGAGCCATGCGGGTTCGGAGCACACGTGGAGGTCAGACACATGGTTTACAGGCAGCCACATGGCTGGGAGAAGGACGCTTTAGAGGAAAAGTAAGGAAATACAAGACACCGGGGCAGCCAAAGCATTAGGGGAGCTGCTTAGAAAAGGGAGATGAGGGGCTGGAGAGATGGCTCGGTGGTTAAGAGCACTGACTTCTCTTGCAGAGAGCTTGGGTTTGATTTCCAGCCCCATATGGTGGTTAACAACTGTAATTCCAGTTCCAGGGGATCCAACGCCCTCTTTTGGCCTCCTCAGGTACCGCAGGACACGGGTGCACTTTTGTACGTGCATGCAAAACACTCATACACATGAAATAAAGAATGTAAAAATATATAAATCAAAAGAAAAGAGATATGAAGAAGAAAAGGAGAGATTATGCTTTTCTGAAGACTTCAGAAAAATGGGCAGAACTTATGGGAGAGACACATGTCTGCAATCCAGAGCCACAAGCATCGCAATGGGAGCAGGGATTCTGAGTATGAAAAGTTCACCATCTCATTAACGCACTAGGCATTCTGCCTATCTCTTTAGCATAAGTTAAGGTGATCCCACCTTCCTAGAGGCGGTCCTATGACCAGGTGATTGACCAGTGAGACCGGAGAGGTAAGCGTCCAACCAGACCAGGAATTCTTACTTTTTGGCCAGTTACTCTTATGGGGCTTTTTGCTGCCTTAACGATATTATAATGGCTTGAAAATTTTAGGTCTTTGGATATAGTAACAGTTTTGTATGTGGAGTGGACGGGAATTGTTAGGAACCTGAGGAAGAGCCTCAGTGTCGAGTACAAGACCCCTAAGATGCTCATGGGCACCTATGGCAGTCACCACTCACTCTCAGACACTGGAGGTGAGCTCAGCCTCTTCTAGAATTTCTATCGATGAGATCATCTTTCATGAACACTTTGTGTCTGCTCAGAATGATATCTTGAGATCTCTCTCTTTCTCTCTCTCTCTCTCTCTCTCTCTCTCTCTCTCTCTCTCTCTCTGGGTGTGAGTGTGGATGTGACAGTGTTTATCCATTTTCTAGTGCTAAATAGTACTGAATAGTATGAAAATATCAAAATGTGTTTTTCTCTAGGTGGTGGACATTCACGTTGTTTCTAGTTTAAACTACTGTAAATAAAAACTGCTGTGACTCATTCAGTCCTGTGTGGGCAGAAAGACGCTTAAATTTTCAAAAACTGAACCACAAAGATGAATTCACTAGTGAGGTATCCACTTGTAAGTTGGATTCCTGTGCAAAGTTTATGGACCTTAAGATTGAAAGAATATGACCCTATAAAACATAATTGGTGTTTTTGCAAATATTCTTGGACGTAACACAAAGCTGTCATGACTCTGGGTGGTGTGATCAGCCCAGACTGTGGCATGATGCAATAGGAAATCTAACTTTATGATTTCTGGGTGCATAAAATGACAGCTTGTTTGTCTAAGCTGCTTCTAGGTGAAAGCTCTGTGGCATTTAAGTAGTCCAGTACACACTTCTGAAATTTGCCTCCACCTCTTAATCCCTTAAGTATCCTCCCTGGGATCTTGATTATACTGTTAATTTGCTTAACAAACACTTCCTCCAGAGTATCACAGGAAGTGTGAGTGAAACACAGAGATATAACAAATCCCTGGATAATGAGGCTCAATTAATGAAACTGTATTTTTATGTGAACAGAATTCAAATCCCAGCAGCTTAGCCCATGAGAACCTGCAAGTTCCTAAAAAGCTAAGCAAGTGAATGGGACCAGAGAGTGACGCTCAGTATCACCAGAAGTCTGTTCTTGTAGGACTACTGAGTAACAGGCCCCCTTCAATGAAATGCTCCTGGGTAGGAGAATTTTTTAGATGAATTTTGAAAAGGGGTAGGGTATAGTAAAGGATTAAAGGCAGATATCTGAATTCTGAACACATCAGAAGAGCCTAAGATTGGTACTCAAACTTTACTATCAAAAAAACAGACACATACACAAACACGGGGGGGGGGGAGAGAGAGAGAGAGAGAGAAATGGGTCTATCAACTCTGCCCTTCCACATAAATAGAAGAATAACATGATACTTTGTAATCTGCACAAAAGAAAGAAAAAGGGAAGTTTTCAGTTCTTGCCAGGACTCTGAGGGAGCTCATAGGCACCTACTGGACAATAGTTCTCTCTGCTGAACGTCCTAGCCATCCCTGCTGTGGAACATCCAGTCCTTCAAAGCCTTTTGTCTAGAGAAGGTGTCTGGTGACGATCTCCCTTCAGAAAGCCATTTTGGCAGGAGTCTGTCTTTCCTTTGGGTCACAGGGCCAGGGTGTGCTGCAGCCAGCACTCAGGACTCTCCAAACCAGCGGTGAATGTCTTTCAACTCTGTCTTCAATGACATTGTCTGTTAGGGACCTGCAGTCCAAGAAGTTGTCAGATGTTCAAGCCATGTACTCCACTCCTACACATCAATGCTGTGATAAAAGCCCCACCTGTCTCACTGGATTCACTGCAACCAGGAGGGCAAAGCTCTGGGAATGGCTCACCCTGGGACAAAATTCCTCTCCATCAGTGGACCTGTGAACTAGAAGACAATCACCGATTCCCAAATACCAAGGTGTGACAGCCGTAGAATAGTAATGATAGACATTTCTACCCAAAGGGGGAGAAAATGGGTGTGTGAAGGGGATCATTGCAATTTCCCCCTCAAGCAATTTTTGAAACCAGCGGGAAAAAACGCCACTAAGTTTCAAGGCTCAAGAAAAGTCCTTTATAGCTAAAGCTTCACTCTCTGGATCTAAGATGCTGCCTCCTGGGAGGGCCATCTGGTCTATCCCCCCACCCCTACATCCCTTATGAAAATGATATGTTGACAAGTTCTTAGGGTTAGGACATGGACATCCTTTGTGGGCATTTGCAAGGCTACCATGGGTGGTTACATGGGTATATGAATTTGTCAAAATACATCGAAATGTATTAAAATTGATGCACTTTATTGCTTGTTAATTACAGTCATAGCTAAATTATAGTCATAAGCTAAATGGCTTAAAATATTTTATTATTTTTATTTTATGTGTATGAGTGTATTACCTAAGTGCATCCATGTTGTGCAATGCCCGAGAGGTCAGAATAGGGTGTCGGATTTCCCTGGGACTAGACTTACGGATAGTTGTTAGCTGCCATATGGGTGCTAGGAATCAAATCCAGGTCCTCTGCAAGAGCAGCCAGTGCTCTTAGACACTGAGCCCCTAGAGCTAAATGGTTTAAATCTTACAAAGAAAATTGCTGTAGAATAGGAGTGATCAATTACATGTTTATTTTCAGTAAGTTTGAGTAAGATCGATTTTATCTCCAAATCTTGTCCAAGTCCCCTCAGCTCCAAAATCCCACTTGCTGTCTTCTGGTCATGAGTGACACTGACTCCTAGGGCAAGAGAAGAATGACAGCTTCACATTACTTCAGAAAGGGAGAGACTCAGTGAACTGGCCAGTGCAGTGGGCGTAAGCGTAGTAAAGTGTGGTGCAAACATGACCCGACTCGTAACTATACTTGGCCTGGCTAAACCCATCTCTCAGTTAGTAGGATAACTAACAGGATGTCTGGCTTTTCTGGGGAGTTTTAGGTGTGTCTTCTGTGAGTTGTGTACATGTGTGCGTGTGATCAATAAAGAGGAAGGAAGAGCTTTCCTTCGGGACTGGGTCTGAGCACTCAGGCACACCAGTGAGTGACTTCAGTGCTGGGGCAGTTAGGGGATTCAGAATTCAGTCAGGGTGCCTCTTGGTACATTTTATGGGTTCTGGCCCCCACTGGAATCACCCGGCTTGTTGAAACACACCTTCTTCCTCTCCACCAAGAAACTAGTTTCTACGGGTCAGAGGACTTGGGTCTATTCCTCTTAAGACTTCTAGGTGATTCCATGCTGGTCAAAGTCTGAGAACCACAAGGTAAAACAGGCTGAGAGGATGTGGTCAGCGAGGCAGACAATGCAGGTGGCTGTGGTAGCCCAGGGGCCAAGAGCAGAGCCTCAGGAAGGCCAGTGGGGTTTCCACTGTGTAAGTGACAGGAAGATAGTATAACACACAGGCTGCTGGTGAGCTTAGCAGTGCGGGAAGGGGCCGAAGGGGGAGACAAAATGTCTGCATTCAAGGCAGACCTCAAATGGTTGGCCCTGAGCACCGCCTCTTGGTGTCTACCCTGGTGACACTGCGCTAGTCTAGTTTGCTTCAATCGCTGTGACAAAACACTATGACAATGCCAATTGGGGGAGGACAGGATTGCAATGGAGCTGGAAATCTACTGCCCGGGGACACGGCAGCCACCAACATCACAACACACATGTCACTGTAAGCATACATGTTGCTGTAAACTCAATGCACCAGTTTTATAAGAACATGCGGCATAGAACTGTGTACAGGACGTGATTCCCAACAGCGATGCTCCACAGACAACACGGTTACTGAGTAACGCAGTTACTGACTACACGCTTTATCGTTGTTTTAGCGTGTGCCTACTTACGTACAACAAGAAGATGACAGCTTGTGAGGATTACTTTTAATTGTCAACGTTAATTAACACAAGCTAGAATCAGCTGCGGAGAGAGTCTCAACGAGGAATTGTCTACAGCAGGTTGGCCTGTGGGCGTGTCTGTGGGGGACTGTGGCGCTCGCTCTAACTGATGTGGGATGACCCTTCTGGTACTAGCTTAGATGAAAGGTCATGACAGAAAGAAAGGTTTTTGCTTTTAGCTCCCTTGGTCTTCCCTGTGGCTGGTGAGTTCATCTACCCTGTGGCTGCTCCTTCACCTGTATCAGAACCAGCTTGCTTGGGCTACCAGTGTGGACTGGAGACCAGCTAGCTGCCCTCCAGGTGCCCTCAGGCCTTTGATACCAGATCGGGACAGCTGTGGCACACAGCATGGTGAACTAAGCAACTAAGTGTTAGCCTCTCCAGTGTGAGACAGCCACTGTTGGGTCATGCCAACCCTGTCCTGTAAGCCGATCTAACAAATCTCCTTTTAAAATATTTTGTTTATTACTTATATTTTATGTGTATGAGTATATCGCCTGCATGTATGTAAGTGCACCAGTGTCATGCAATGCCTGAGGAGATCAGAACAGGGCGTCAGATCCCCTGGAACTGGAGTTACAGACAGTTTCTGGCCACCATGTGGGTGCTAGGAATCGAACCTAGGTCCTCTGCAAGAGTGGCCAATGCTCTTAATTGCTGAGCCTTCTCTCCTGCCCCCATAAATCTCCTTTTAATATACATTTGTCATATTATTTTATTATATTAATTATATTATATTTATATTATATTATTGGTAGTGGTATATAAATATACCCTATAAAAAGGTATGCCTTCTGATGCCAGTAACATCAAGTGCACCTGGTGTTAGCCTCACCTTCTCCAGCAGGAAAGTACATCATGTGCCTAGCTCACCCCATCTAGGTTCGTGTGCTGTGACATGAGAGCTCTCCCAGCAGCGGGGACAGCTGTGCCGGCACTTGGTCCCACAGCACTGAGACGTTTTATAGTCTGTATGTGTCATGTTTGGATTTAGAGTAATTAATCTTTCTGTATAAGAAACCTCATAAGTTTACAAGTACAAATTTGAAAATCCATCTGTATGCACTTAGAAATGATACTCAAGGGGCTAGAGAGATGGTTCAGCAGTTAAGAGCACTGGCTGTTCTTGCAGAAGTCCTGGGTTCGAATCCCAGCACCCACATGGCATCCAACAACCACCCATAGCTCCAGTTCCTGGGATACGACACCCTCTTCTGGCCTCCAAGGACACTGCACAACATGGGTGCGCTTACACACATGCAGGCATAACACTCATGCACATAAAAATAAATTTTTAAAAAGTCTTAAATGATACACAAAGTCTTCC